AAGAAGTAATTCCCCTAAGATAATAACGTTATTCTAGGAGATAGAAGAATAGATAAATAGTATATAGTATAGGACACTCTTTAGACATTTCCTAACGTACCCGGTAAGTGAGCTGCGTAGGCAAGTAAGCTACGCACCCCACTCGACTTTTATGCCTCTATAGTGGTATATCTTAATAATATAATAAGATAATGGAATATAATTACTATACTAAATTAAGTGGCATCTCTAGTGTCCTTCTTATATATTCGCGAGTTATGGCTAGTCTCCCTATAGCACCTACAGCGCGCTGAAGCCTACCGACTTATACCTAATTGCGCTCTACCTTAATGCGTTTCCCCCTTAAGCTGCTACTTAACCTTATTTTAAGCTATAATTTCCTCTACCTCTACCTTTAATAGGGTGCCTTACTTCTAGATATACTTCTTTTTATACTTTCTATATATTATAGTAGTCTCATTTACTTTCTTAAGGCTCTTAATCTAATTGCGTATTAATGCTATTTCGTGTATTACTATTATAGAGCCTTTCTTAAGCTGATTAAGTCTCTTAATAATAGATATAGGTAATGAGCTTCCATACCTCTATATCCTATCACGTATTAATATTAATTAAGCCTCTAGCTTACACGCGTTGCTTGGTATTTACACTTCCTAGAGGGTAGTCTCTAGTGTAGGCAGTATTGGCATATTAAGCTTTACTATCACCCTATTAGGATTATATAGTACTAGGCCAGCGCCTTAAAAGCTTACGTAGATATTCTCCTTTATAATTAACTAGTTATAGGCTGTGTAGAAGGCTAGTAGGAACTCTAGCTTAATAATATAGTTAATATAATCACGAATTAGGCCCTTAATCTAGTGGCTGTATGCGCGCTTCAACGGCAAGAAATAGCCAATATTAAGTGGCTGTAAGAGGTGCGATGAATGTGGCAGCATATAGAGAGTATAGATATTATTCTCCTTATAGAGTGCTTGAAATTCGAGTGAGTTATGGCTCTTATAGCTATTAAGTATAAGTAGCTGGCACGTGCCTACCCTATACTCTACTATATGCTTAATAAAGTGCCTCAGCCACTCTACTCTAAGCTTATTTATTGTCTAGCCATTATCGCTAACTGTGAAAGCCTTGTCGTATGGTATATTATTATCCTTGTACTAGGTAGAGAGGTGATACTGGCCAGCAAAGATAATAAAGGGTAGAATTACCCAGCTAGTAGTATTAATTCTATAAATTGCTATAATCCACTCGCGATCGCCTAGCTATAATGCTTTTGGCCTACCTCGTCGCTCTAAGCCTATAATAACAAGCTAAGCTAATATCCTACCTATTATAAAGCCAGTCTCATTAAAATTATAGGTATCCTTATTATAGATCTTATAGGTAGCTTTTATATGCGCTATAAGGTTGAACTAGGCCCTAATTACCTTAGGATCTTTATATAGAGCTCTCTATTAATTATATAGTTAGTTAAAACGTATAGTAAGACTTTCTATCCACTTAATAAAGTTGCGTAGCTACTTCTTACCTACTTAGCTAGTGCCGCGCTTAGTGAACGCTAGTAGGGTTACTAGTAGTGGCGTTAATAGTAGTAATGGTTATAGACTACTAGGTAGTATAAGTTTAAAATTATCTATAACGTACCTAGTAAGCGAGTAGCGTAGGTAAGCGAGTGGCGTACCCTACTAACTTTTCA